AGTGCAGATTGATATATGGAATATAGGTGTTAATCAATTTTATCTGGTGGGATTTAAAATTTCACTATAGTGCAGATTAAAATTTTAATCTTCATTGGATTCTTGTAAGTGGAAATTGCAATTTAATTCCCATGCACAATACAAAAATATGTCAATTACAAAACAATCGTATACAAACACATGAGGAAAAAAATAGAAAAAAACAGAACTGGCATATCCGGCAAGTGGGAAAATGTCAGGGGATATAGAAGAGGCACATCAGAACAAAGTAGAATAAGTGGAAAAGAAGATATGCGATCAAATATAGGGATGATGGTGATCATAAGCATTTAGTTAATTACTCAAGCTATTCTAGCTGATAAAATAAATACGGACTGGGGCCTGTTTCTTAAAAAAACTTAAGTAGAAAATCTTACTTAAGTCAAAAAAGACAAAGGCTTTTTTGGACTTAAGTCAGATTTTCTACTTAAGTTTTTTTAAGAAACAGGCCCCTGGTCAATATTAATAGCATTTAAGGGCAACCATTTTTGAATCAATATAATAATTGGTGACTTCACGGTCAACCTACTAGTTTGTTTTGTATAGCTTTCTATTTGTAAAAGCTATGAGTTTGTTCTTTCTTCCTATCTGTTGTGTTTCAAGACAGTTGGATTATAAACTTCTTGTTATTGTTGGTTGTAAACTGATTACCAACTATAACTTCCCTCAGGATCTTATTGAGCATTTTTGCATTTTATATTATTATGTTTTTGCAAGTGCCCAAAGGCGTTACAATAAATACAAAGTGCGAAAAAGAAACTAATTTCATGATGCAGAATTCATTAAGGATGAAGACCAAGAAGAGTTTGAAAGTTAAACGATGGGTCAAGTATTGTTTATAATCTCGAGGTACTGCATTTTTTTTGACCTACTGATCATAAAAAGACTCCATGTGTAGGAAATCTCAGTTTTATTACTTTAGCCAATGTTCTATTTAATATGAACTGATGTTTCGACCAGACTTTTTTATAATATGTTTGTTAATTCAAATCAAGACGAAAGACGTTTCTCAGATCAAACCGAAACCAAAATTATCCGGATGATAAGATTTGAAAAAATATTTCGTCAACACCAACAACTTAATCTCATTCTAATTTGTTAAGCCAATTACTAACGACTAAAGATCGTCGGATTGGGTTCCTCGTGAAGAATGAAGATTAAACATTTTTGACTTTTGACCGAAATAAACGAAATTAATACATCAGAGATTTGATCCTAGCACACATTGAAGTAAACAAATTACAACTGACAAATAAGACAAAAGTAGAGCCGAAGTTTAACCACAGTTCAAATAATAGTACTATTAACATTAATAAAACTACTTGACGCATGTTAAACCGATAATTTTAAATACAACGAAGTTAACAAAAAATCCTGTGTTGTTGTACCAGTATTTGTCTATTGAAAGAAAGTAGGACTTCATAGAGATAGCTTTTTCTTCGTAGATTTTTGCTAAGCCAAAGAATTTTAACAACGCAGTCTCATGTCTAGAATTCACTATCATAAATAAAACATCGGTGCACTAAATTATATTCCATCGTGATACACACACCATTTCCATACTCAAAATACTAATCACCACTTATAACAGGTTGAAAAAGATGTTGCGACAGAATATAAAGATACGATGTTTATATATAAACGTGTCCGCAGTATCTCAATGGGAGCAGAACGCATGAATTGTCATAAACAACTTATCAGGTTCGAGCCTCTGGATTCGAACCTTGGTTTTTTAAAAAATCTTTTTTTGTTCATTATTGTTTAAAACTCAAGCAAAGTGCTGAGGGAACTATTGTGGGTAGACAAAAATAATTTTGCTATAAGAATTTCATAAGAACTCAATACGAAACTAATAAGAACTCTTATCACTTTCTTATAAAATTCTTATAAGATTCTTACTCGATTCTCATCTGATTCTTACGAAATTCGTGCAAGTTTCGTACCACTTCTTATATAAGTATCTGGTAACAACCGGATAAGATTCTTAGCAAAAGTAGATAAGAAGCTGGCAAGATCTTTAGCAGATACCTGTTCTATTCTTATATAAGAATTGATGTCTAGAGTGGAAAATGAATGTAAAGTGCCCATGTACTAAAAATTGCATAAAAATCGGCAATTAATCGTGAAAAATCATACAATTAATCGTGCGCTTAATCGCGATTAATTGACGATTTTTGGTGATTTTTAGGCGATTTTAGCGATTAATCGCAATTAATTGACGATTTTTTTCTAGGTACTAGGTTCGAACCCATCTTAGGAAATACATATTTTTTTCTGTTTTTTCATTGTTTATTACGTATAATGACATGTGCGTCACACAGCAATGGTCTTAGCACCAGCTGGCGTCGGAGTCTTGCCGACGAGTCAGCTTTAAACATTGCCCACATACCAGCTGTTCAGTGGGCTTCTCGGTTTAAAGCTCTGAGGAACAATAGAGAAGACTCTTGACAACTCCGTTGTATTCTAAAATAAAAAGATGATCTGAATATAAGTGTATTTTTCGCTGAATCGTGCTTCTTATATACAAACTTTATTGCAAAAGAAAACGGTGAATAACAACAACCATTTAATCACTTAAAATCAACAATTAATCGCAATTAATTGATGATTTTCGTGATTAATCGCGATGCTTGACAAAATCATCGATTAATCGCGATTCGGGAAAAAATTATCACTTAATCGCGATTAGATGACCATTTTTTCCCGAATCCCGATTGAGCGTCGATTTTTTCAACCATCGCGATTAATCGACAAAAATGAAGCGATTTTCAGCACATGGGTGTACATGATCAGAGTCTTCTGTAGGATGAGACTAGACATGAATAAGAGTTAGTATATCTAGCATCTAAATATTTAAGAATAAGAATGAAATTTTCCGTATTCAACCGCTTTCTTGTTTATCATCGTAATTGGCGCTATTATTTCATTAGCAGAGACTACGCTGTAAACGAGAAGACAAATTTCTCTATTGTAGAAGTATGAATCGTCGTGCTGAATATCTTTGTATTCCTCGTCAACGTCGAGATGCTATATGGAAATTTTGGCAACCTAATGCTCGTCTGGAAAAAATATATCCTTTTGTTCAATGGAAACCTCTGGTTTACAAGAAACAAAAGAGAATAAGCGAGAAACCAGAGTTATGGCGACAACAAGCATGTTACAAACCATCGAAGGTTGTCTCATGTAGCAGAGATCAATTAAAAGATGCTTGTTTTTATACTACACTTTTTTATAAATGTACACACAATAAACGAATATCGACAACGAGGACGGAAGATGATGTAAAACAATTTCGAATCTATGTTGATTTTGCCCATTATGATCTCAAACATGAGTCATGGAAAGAACTTCATAAACTAACGGACACTGAGCAATACAAAACAAATTTGATTCAAGATGAAGTGGATTCAACGTTAACGTGGGATAATTTAGCCCGTACAAATAAACAAGAAAGACGAACACTTGACGATCTATATTTAAAACGACGTGAAATATCTCGTCTAATATCATTAAGTAATCAAAAAGAAAATTTATTTGCATTAGATAAGACTTTTTATCCGAATAGACCATTTTCATTATCACGACGTCCACGGGATATTTTGCATGTTGATTTTTATCTACCAAACGATTTTGAACATGCAAAAACAGATTCTGCCACATTCAAGACATTTATACATAGAAAGTATTTGGTAAACTATGATCCACACGTATGCCCAAGTCCGAAAGATGTCCGGAAATGACGCTCTTTTTATTTTAGATTCCATTTCGTCTGAGAGAACATACATTAAAAGACATCGTAAATTCGGTACGTGTTTCGACAAAGAACGTTTTGTTTTAGAGCATTACGAACGATGGTAAATAGAACTAAAAACATTTTGTCGCCATAATTTAATGGGGATAGTATTCTTTGAGATTTTAGTCAAGATAAAATCTATAGTTATACCGAAATATGTTTTTAACTGAGGGGAGGATTTCAAGATCTTAGTAAATCTAAATAATATCGTGTGATACGAAAATTTTAAGATTAGATCAAGATCATACGACACAATCATGCGATATAGGTTACTTAGTCTAAAAACTTTAAAGTTTGTTTGTAAGTCATTTTTACGAGTTTGTTGTGTATCTGAAGTGATTTTTACTTTATCTCGTAGAAAATTAAATTTATTTATTCAATCCAAACGTTTCGGTGTTTTATACACGCTCTTCAGTGGATAAATATTAAGAAAACACAAAATTGAGCGATAAGGAGTCTAGCTTCCAACCATACAAAGATGGGTGAAAAGATGTGAAAAGTCGATCCAAAAAACCCACTGATACCAACAGAGAAAAGTAGTGGTGCTTATTAATATCCTGTTTTGCTGTTTAGAGGTTGTTTATTTTATTTTTCAATTGTATTTTTTTATACTTCTTATCGCTCAATTTTGTGTTTTCTTAATATTTATCCACTGAAGAAGGTGTATAAAACACCGAAACATTTGGATTGAATAAATAAATTTAATTTTCTACGAGATAAAGTAAAAATGCCTTCAGATACTTTAAAGTTTGGGTAAGATTTACCATAATTTTGGAAGATATTTATTCACAGTTCACTAAGAAATTCGGGACATTGTGTTTATGTGCTACCAATAGATTTCTTTTACATGGCTGAATTCTAGTTGGAATCTACGGTCCTACAAATGCTCACTACACGGGCTAAGAAAACGTAACTCGAACCCGATTCAACTCGACAACAATCAAATCAGAATTTCATCCGATCCTAAGGTCGGATCGGGTCTTTATCCACAGACTCGTTGCTTTTCTGAAAAACTTTTGTAAAGATCTCAAGCAAATCTGGAAAAAGAATGACAAACTAAAATGCAAATGGTTTTTGATGCTACTCATATAGAACTTGTTGACGACAAAACACAAGAGTGAATAAATTGACTCATCAGATCTTATAAAGAGCTTAAAAGATAAGATCTTGTAAAATTTTAGTAACATAATTTTAAACAATGCCAGAGATTCTTACTATAGAAGCTGACAGTCTTTTATCAACAACAGGCACCGAACTTTGGTCTTGATATTGAAATTGTTGGTCATTTTATTCTGTATCCGGTATGTGGTCTTTTATCATTCTCTATTTAACTACTATCGCTTCTGCATTATTTTGTAGAATGAATTATCAAAAGAAGAAATAAAACTTTTTAGTTTATCGACAAAATATGGGGATATTTACAACGGACATATAATCAGAATAAAAAATGATAAACTAAAAGAAGAAAAACTAGTTCTCTTATTGGTATGTTGTTCGGTATATGAATTTCTCTTATGATTGAATAAATAGTTTTCTTTAGGCATCTGCACGACACACCGACATCAAACTAGTACCACCAATCGACTTAGAAAAGATAATAACTGATGCACAAACATTTGATTCAGACAGTAAAAATTGGACAACAATGAACATTATTCCGTCATACTTGAATACAAAAGTTGATCCAGTAAGCATTCTATTAAGCATTTATCTTAGTATTTGTTACTTTCCTAGTTTTTATTTATAGTACTCAACTATTGAACGTATTGTTATTGAAAAAGTTCGCGAAAAAATGCATGCTAATATTCATTATACGATGGAACAAATTCGTCATGTGGAAGTTGAAATAGAACCATTTAATGGAAATCTAAAAGCACAAAAACAACGACATATAATTGCACATTTATTCACTGATCAAACTCATCTGTGTGATATTAATTTAGATATTGAACGTAGTGATTATCCGGAATTATTCAAAATTGAACAGCAGATAAATTTTTATTTTTTACAAAGTACAAATGAGAAAAATGAATTGCAACTACTTGAAACAAAGTTGAAGCGATTGTATCAACTTAGAGAAAGAATTATACATAATAAGAAAGAGGAAGAGGGTCACATTCTAAAAAATGAAAAACAAGAACAAGACGATAATAATTTAAATTTTTTCGAATTAACTGAGAAAGATGAATATGATACAATGATTAGTCTTAAATGTGTTATTGAATTGTATTCGTCAAAAATGTTTAGTGCTGCTGGTCGTAATGAATGCATGCGTTTAGCAGTGGAACATGGATTCGATGATATACTCGATTATTTTGACTCTAATGAATACAAAGCGATTGATGATCGCGAAATGAAAACAAAACAACAACAATTATATTTGGAAGAAATACGGTTAAGATTACAAAAGTGCATTCAACAGCGAATGGTGAGAACAGAACCTATCTGTTTCAGATAATTTCTCATACTCTCTAAAAAAAATCCGTAGCTTACAAAACGAATAGCGGTTTTGGCATTTGCTCCTAATATATCCGTGTCGTACGATCCTGCGTAACCGTTTCGCAGAATACGCTTCGACGTTTTTTGCCTTGTGAGGGAACGGATTTAGGTTTTGTACCAGAGAAAAAACGTTGAAACGTATTCTACGAAACGGTTACGCAGGATCGTACGATACGGATATCGGTTTCTATTAGGAGCAAATGCCAAAACTGATATTCGTTTAGTAAGCTACGGATTTTTTTTAGAGAGTACTGCTTTCTATGAGAACAATCTAAGATGTTACCATTTAGTGAGTAAGATCCATTCATAGACCGATGTATAGAGCACTCTCACAAAATACATACCTCACCACTAGTGAGACAATTCTTAGCTAATACCACATAAGCTCTTATTTACAGTAACAGTATTTCTCTTTTTTATAATTATATTTAGAGATTCATATCATTATTTTGGTTTACTTTTCTCATACTAGGAAGCAGAATCTGTTGCTCAAATATTATTATTTGGATCTCCTGTTAACAAGAGTATGCGGTTAAAAGAAACATTATAAAACTCCAATTGATAGTAAAAAATTTTTCTATAGAAATGAGTGTGACAGATTGTAATGTTACTGTTTTGGACAAACATAAAGAAATATTTGTTAAACAACATCAAACATTTATTGAAACATCAAAAATTAAAACAATGCAGTAAGTTATAATTCTAGTTATTGTTGTTCCACTCTTACAAGAAATGTTTTATTCTATAATAGAAGAAAAGATGATAGTGTTGTCTTTAAACAAAAGACAAAAGGTCCTTTGGCGTTTGATCGCTTAATGATGACTACAGATTCACTCACAATGCTAACACGACTAAAAGAACGACGTCGACAGGAAGAGAAAGAACATGATAATGATGTATCGTTGTTTAGCAGTGATATGACTTGTGTAAAAATTGGTAAAAAACAAGTAACAAATAAAAAATGTTTATCATTTGACTGTGATAATGTTCAAACTTTAAAAACAAGACGTTGTCATATGTCTGATTTGAGTGTTGATCATTCGACACCTAAGGATAGTAATAATAGTCATAGTAATGAGCTAAATAGTTTAAAAACATCGGCAAAAACAATAACAACAAAAAGTCAAAATAAATCAGCAAATACCGAGAGTATGAGACAAGAAAATAATTTGGAAATAATGAAAAGAAAAGAATTCAAGCGAGAAAAACATCCACAAACACGTTCAATGGCAGAGCATGAAAAAAATAGAGAAAAGAGGAAACTGGATAAAAAACGATATTTGTTACTACAATGTGGAATAAAAGATGTACAAAAACAGCGGTTTCAGAATGAAAAAGCAATATATCAGTTGCCAAAAAATTTATTTTTATTTCAAGAACATCGTAACAATGTGAAAAATGTGAGTTACAATGATCGAACGAATAATGCCGTCAATCAGGATGACACAAATCAATTTGTTGCTGTGGCCAATATAAATGCACTATCAGAAGATTTAAATTTAAAAAGTGGTCTATTGATCGGAATTGAGAGTGAAGCTATTATACGTAAGTTATTATTCGTTCCGATACTAACATCACTTTATTTTTATTTATTGGTATTTTAGCTGGCAATCTTCGATCTCCTCGAAGTATGAGGCTTCAATCGCTGAGTCAAAAACCGTCCGATCGATACATAAATCAAACAGATAAACTTAATGATGATATAGCTGAATATAATCGTCGAAGTTTGCCCAATGGATACGAGAAAAGAGATTCAATTGATCAGGATGAACAGGTATCATCAACTAGTGACGACGATTTGAATGGATCCCCTATTGATCGTACGTAATGAAAATGGTTTCATATGAATATTATAATATTTACTCTATTAGGTACACCATCAATTTTATCGTATAAATCTGAAATAAGTGCATCTCGTATAAGTCTGAAATATAGCAGTATCAATTCATATACATCGGAAATGGCACTGGATGAAGAAAATAAAAGAACTTCTGTGAAAAATAACACTTTAAAATCTGATGCTGATGAAGAAGTGATAGAAAAAGATATTAAAGAAGTCGAAGAAGAATGTAAGTGATAGTATCAAATAAACTTACTATTGACTACAAAATTCTAATAATGACAACAGTTAAAAGCAATTTTGAACAAGAATTTGAGATAAACACTGGTGCACATTTACAAAAAGTTTATTTTTGTTGCGCTAATACATACTTTGTTTATATCTCATAACATCTGCGCTAGACGAAAATATCGAAGATCTGATCTCGATTAAAGGCGAAGAAGAAGAACTGTCCATTGGAAAACTTGAAGAACAACGCTTAGAAAGTGTTACTGAGATAAACAGTAACGATGATAACAAACGAATAACAAAAAATTGGTCATTGAAACAATTACAAGTATCAAAAACGATTGTCGATGTCTATAATCATATGCCCACAATTAATAGAGAATTTAGTGAAGATTTTGAAGATATAAGAGGTAAAATAAAGTCATTATATTCAGATTATTTTTATATCTTGTTAATTAGATGTCGAAACTGCAGTAGACGACGAGGAAGTAGAATCTAGTGAGGAAATAGACAGTGAAGATACGGAACAAGAATTACAGTCGTTGTATGGTTCATTATCAAGTGCTTTGAAGCAAGTAGAAGATATTTATCGTTCGAAAGCCACAAGGTTAAGTTTAACACAGGAACTAACACTAATATTCATTACATTTCTTGATATACACAAAGATATTGCATATGAAATGGCTTCGATAATCATAGATAGTCGAAGTCAATTACGGATAACAAAAGATATTCATTCACATACAACAATAAAACAAAAATATCGAAGTAAGATGCAAAGCGCTGACGATCTGGATCAAGATGATAATAAAAGTGCTCCGATCGATGATGATGACGAATGGAAAAATTATGCAGACAACAAAATGAGAATTGGAGGTAATGAAATTGACAATTCTAAATTTTCCTCAACTATTGAATAATATTCTTATATTTTATTCCAGATGACAGTATTAAAACTAGTATAGTGAAGGGAGATGCTAACGATCAACAGAATGTCAGTGACAATAGTTCGAATGAGTTCGGTCAACGACAAAGTAATACTATTTGTCCACCACACACTCGCCATTTCATGACTCGTGTAACATCGTATTTATCAAAAGCCGATTGGCGAGTGTTTAACTACTTGACTAAACATTTTTTTCAAAATGGTAAGTAGTTTTTATTTAATTTATCTGTTTTTGTTTTTTCTACATAAAAACTTATCATGTTTATTTCTAGGCACAATTACAACTGTTCATGCATTAGAATTCTCATCTGCTTTGTTGAACGATCTCATCGAAGAATCCGTGTATAATATTTATTTTCGTACAAAATGGTGTCATAAATTTGACAAAGATATCATGGAATCATATATCGATAATAGAACAATAAAAGATTTTTTAGAAAAATCTCTCGCTATTTTATTAATTCGTCTAAATTTGATTAACTTACCCCTATTGGAACATATTGTCATGATTAGATGTTTAAAACGGTATTCATGTACGAATTTGTATCAGGATATCATATCAAAAGAATTTCAAGCTCCTCCTATTAGTTGTGATCCATGTGTTTGGTATTCAACCGATATCTTGATAAAAACCATATGTTCAATGAAAGATTATATTCTGTCATTTCTAGAATACGATTATCTTTCATCTTATGTTCAATTTGAATATTTATTGACCACTTATTTTCGTAAAATTCAAATAATTCTCAATATAAACGAGTTAGATCAATACGAGGAAAAAGAAGAAAAATGTTTATTGCATGTGATTGATGTTAAACAAGCACCAAAGTTTTTTTCCGAAAAGGCATTCAAACGATTTCAGTTGGGTAAAAATAGTCAATTACACGATTTGGAAGAATTAAAAGATTTAATTCTATTAGATATATCAAAAAAAGTTATAAAGTCTCGAATAAAAGTGGATATACCATTATCAGAAGCCGATTTAATTTCTAAACATAACAAACGTGTAATTCGACCAACAACGTCCATTCTAGTGGAACGATTCTCTAGAAAGACACAAGATCTATCACTTGATCAATATAATTTTGATCCCTCGCATGAAGAAAAAATGTCATTATACTCTGTCGATGATAGAATCACACCCGAATTATTAGGATTATTTGGGCTAGAAGTTGGGAACGTATTCGAACAAATGGTAAAAGCGTATGGTACCAAGGATCTTCAAGAAAAAAAACGCCGAGAACTGTATGATGGTAAATCAGAGCGCGACATTGTACGTTTGATAATAGCAGCTATAGAAGCTGTTGAACGTTTTGATAAGGAACATGTTATTGGTAATCGAAAATTATCAACAAAAAAAATCATTGGTGATCGTTTGACAAAATATTTTGAGCATTCCGGAAAATTTGGAGTAAGTAGAATTATAATTTGAAAGTAATATATTAAATTCTATCTATTTAGATTCGTTTTCTTGATGATATATTAAATTTGGCTAAAAGACGTTCAAATAATCGTACCAAATATATTCCAATGGCAATAAATATGTTGAAAAATAAATTAAATCGATTAGGATCAAAGGATTTGAAAAAAGGTGATGTGAAGTTCATGTATACGTTGGAATCATTGCTAAACGCAATAGATGATGAACGTGACATAATTAATACCTTACTTGAAACAGAGGCTGAATTTCAAATTCAAATACCTGATCCATATCGTTATTTGAATGTCGATCACTTAGAATCTGATACATTATTTCGTCCATTGGTCACACAAGACGAAATTTCACTTAATATTACAAATCCATTTTCGAGAGAATTAGAACAAGAATACAAATACAAACATATACTTGAACCAATTCTAGAGGAAATCGGTGAAGATTTTCCAGTATCATCATCCGAATTGACGTCTTTTCATGACTTATCGACATTTGGTTTGTCAAGTGGACAACTGTCCACACTTATGACCGGTCATATATCTCGTCAACATGAACAATTAAAAATTAGCATGTCTCAAATAGAACTAATTGGTTTAAATCAAGGTTTATCAAAAGATCAGTTAAAAATGAATATGCGTAGAATATCACAAGAGAAGACAAAACTTCCTCATCGATTTTATTTAACACCCGAACAATTTGTATTAGTATCCGTGAATGAGAATATAAAAATTCAAGATCTTACCCGTATCCCAAAGAGTCAATGTAGTTTTCGTTTAAATATACAACAAATACGTTGTCTAATAAAGCAAATGAATCGGAATTTAAAATCAAATCAGTCAACAGCATTAACAATCCAAATCGATCAATTAATTGCATTGTGTGCTGTCCATCAGATTGAATTAAATACTCTATTGAAAACATACGATGATGAACGAGAATCATCAGATATTGATATTAATTTTCATTTTTTACCAGAACAACTAGCATGGCTTATGATGCAAAATCATTTTGATCTATCAGAGTTGGATTTGATTGAAAAGAATTTAACATCTCAGTTACTACCACCAGTATTATTTCGATTGAACAAATCACAGTTTGAGTATTTATTTGCTAATCAACGAATAGGGCACGATGAACAAGAACGATCACAAACGAATGGTTTAACACCATCGCAATTGATCGCGTTGTATACGCTTCAGCAACCATCAGCAACAGAAATAGACACCAATATTTTCAAGAAATCAAAACATTTTCTATTAACGTACGACCAAATTGAAAATTTAGCGATAATTCAAGGTATAATTGTTATCATAAAATTTTGTTTAAAAGTGGAAAAACATATCGATTTTAGGTATGACACTTGAGCATTTTAAATCATTACGTGGAGTCAAACAGCAATTGTTTCTAAGTAGCATCCAAATTGTTCAAATAGCTATTGAAAATGATATTTCAATCAAACAATTGTTATCTTTTCCTCTTGTTCAACGTACAAGAGTCATGACACATGAACAATTATGTTCCATAATATCAAAAAATCATAAACCATTATTGATAAAACGGCAAGATTCGATTAATAAACAACGTTTGTTTTTAACTATAGAACAATTATTATTATTAGCGACACGTTTTCATGCTAAAGCTGATGATTTGATGGCGTGTACTGTTCAATACAATAATAGTGAACATTTTCAATTACATAGTGAACAATTGACAACATTACGACAACATTTATCAAATGATGAAATAGAAGAAGCACATAATAAACTAGTGTCATCAAATTTAAGTTTTCCGAATCCATCGTTTACATTAACCGACGAACAATTCGGTATATTATTATTCCAGTTGCCACCAAGTGCTGCGCTCACAAAGATAAAAATCACATCACCAACACTCAATATCAGTCAACATACACGAACTTCCACCACATTCTCACCTAAATCTATGAAAGAATTAATTCAACTAACAAATGATCGATTGAAAGACAGTGTTTTGAAAACTATTCAACTCATTCATCAAGCATCAAATGTACCATTAAAACAAGTACACATCGAATCGGCAATGGAATTTATTACAGAAATTAGTATGAACACAATGGATAATGAAAAACTACAAGGATTTGAAATGATGCCTGCCTATGTCATTGACGCTTTAAAAATCGGTGAAATTCCGATTATTGTGTATGATTCAATTATTAAAAAACAATTGACAACACAAATGATTGATGAAAAAGAATATGAAAATAAAAATTTACCACATGAAATTGTCGACATGATTCGAGAAGGTGAATTAAGTCGAACATTAATTAATGCTTTAGAAAACGAGAAAACAGATCGATCAAAAATAGAAAAAATACAAGAAAAATTATTGTCACCAATGTTAAATGAAGAAATACAAAATGGAACTGTATCAAAACAGGTATTAGATGCATACAAAAGTCATTCACAAATGGAACTATTGCAAAAAATTCGTCGTACAACAGAAGCAACTGTAGAACAAATAACGAATGCTGATACCGATTCTATACTAACTCTGTCAAAAAGTACTATACGACACATCGAGAATGATCAATATCCACAAGGTTCAACAATTGTCAAGGAAAAATCAAAAGAAATGAGTAATTGTAAATAATAAAAATAATTTTTTTTAGATATGTTGCTCATGATTTTAAATATTCTTTTTTTAGTTGTACAATTATTTAAAACACCCACTTTATCACATAGAGAATCAGTAATAAAACGTAAAAATATCATTGAAGAACTTCGTCATACATTATCAAATATTAAGGAAAATAAAGATAGTTTAAAACAAGAATTTGGTATTGAGCCTATACAAGGCTCCGTATCCATACAGAAAATAACAGAAATGTATCGTGAAACTGGTATAGCTAAAGTAAGTGTGTTTCATTTGTCTGTAAAATCTATATCCGCTGTTTCTCATAGTAGGAATTAGAAATAATAATTGGACGTGAAATTGACGAAGTAGATGTCCTGAATATGCTGTCTGGTGAAACAGAAGATATTGTGTCTCAAACATCGAACGAATCAAGATTAATGATGTCTCAAAATATTGCTGAAAGAAATGAACGTACAAATTATCGGCTCAATTTATTTCATCATTTAATTACAGACATTGAACTTATTCGATTAAAACGTCAATTAACAACCGATGAATATTTGTCCGTGGTATGTGAAGATATTGAACAAGTTGAAATGCTGACAAAGTTAAAATTAAATATTAATGATTTGAGAATAATTACCATGGATCGTTTTCATAATGTCATTGAACATGCACTATCGACATATCAATTAAATGAATCAGAAATCAGAACATTTTTGAATGTTGTGGATAAAGAACATTATATTGAGCAACACTTGCTGAAAAGAAATTTATCATTGGACGAAAAAATTGAATTAGAAGAATTATCGGTGTTGCCCTATTATCAATTATTTGAAGAGCATTTTTATCAAGTAAAAAGAGATATATTACAAGGAAAAGTAATTCAAACATTAGACAACTTCAAGATAATACCAACACATGAACAATTACAAAAAGTCTTAGAGCAACGTGCTGAAATTGTAGATCAATATGATGTGATTTCAGCTCTCAAACACGTATTTTTTCCCATTGAAAAGTTAATAGAACGACGTTTGACAATTGACGAGAAAAAAAGTTTGGCTGCTAATGACTTTAGTGTTATTAATAAACGACCGAAAAAAGAATCGTCAGCATCCATAATACGGGCAAAGATCAATCGTGACAAAGGAGAAGAAGAACAAATATTGTTAATAAACCCTGTCATCGATCAAATTATTGAAAAAGATGAAAATTTAATTGATAATTTGAAAAAATTAGAACTTCATCGAACAGCAAAAGAAGAAATAATTGATGGTTTGATCGATGATAAAGATAAATTAGAAAAATCTGTAGATAAACAATTAGATTTAAAGTCAATTAAAGATTTGTATGGTGAATGTTTTGAACAAATTACACGGGAATTAGATCGTGATTTAACCGGAGAAGAATATTGTAACTTAATACAGGGAAAATTTAGTGATATTGAAATATGTCTTGGTAAATATGTCTTGTTTTTAGACTACATCTCTCATCGATAGTCATATATTCATCAGAAGAGATTTGAGTATGAAATATTCTAAGAAACAGGAGAAGCTTGTGGCTGCGCGTTTCAAGTTTTACATTGTTAAGAAATAACTCACATTTTGCAAGAAAACAATATTTTTCAACGATCAAATCTTCTCAAACTGCACTACCGATTACTCTCAGTCCATAAAAAGTACTCTCATAGTATTTGATCTTCAGAAAATGGCTCATCAAATACTTCCGATGTTTTTAACAGTTATCAACAACAGGAGTTGATTGACTGTTTATTTCTATACTTAACTGAGAACGCTTACTGTTAATAACCTATAATCCTTCTAATCATTATTTAGTACTAATACTAATACTCGATTTTTCTTTTAAATGCAAGTGTTACTAGAGAGCAAATACCGAGACACATTACCACTTATGGCTCCTAAAAATATCTTCTGCGAGAGAAATATGTCACTTCGAACGACTAGTATCTTTTTTGCTTTTAGGTCGTCTACTAACAGCGAATGAATGCAAAATGTGTATGTCTATCAATTTAGCTGATGTAGCGGCATTGCAAATAAAAATGGTAAAATCCAAGGATGATGCTATAGATGAACGAGAAAATATATTAGAGCATTCACTCAATCATGACGACGTTAAGCGACTAATTGATGAAGAACAAAAAGATCCTAAGAAATTATTAGAACGTGCATTAACAGAGAAGGAAGTCAATCTATTAGTAAGAAATACATCGAAGAAATTCGATCAAATGTTGGGTAGTCAAACGGATGAAACTCAGCTAGAAAAATGGAAATCGAGCGAATCTATTACTAAAAGAAGTAAGAGCAGTTAATTAGCTAGGTAGAAGTTGAAAATGATATCTTGTTCAGATAAAACAGTTGATGAATATATAAATGAGTTGCAAAGTAGTATCTGGCGCTAGTATATTGAACAAAATAACTGATAAACGTTCTCAAAAGATATCGAAAATTTGATAAAACAAAAAATAAGTTTTGATGAAAAAGATTTTTTTGAAAGAGGAGTATGCGCATATTGAAAAAATGCTTTGTGAACAATTAAAAAATGATGAATGAAAAACCGTTTTGCGGGACAGAGTCTCTGACAGCTTAGACTTGAACGAACTGCAATTGTTATCACAGAATAAATGTCACTGTATTGTACATGAATTACAACATCTTTTAGATTGTAAAGAATCGATTAGTATGTTTGACAGTCAATATGACATATTTCCAAATTCACTCGGACAAAAATTGACCAAAGAGGATTTTCTTGCGTCGGACAAAGTGCTATCGTCATCATTATTTACTGATCCAATACCATCCGACCAACGACGACTAGAAGTCAATTTGCATACGCTGAAACAGCCGATCTATTTTGATCTCGTAGAAATTGAAAACGCCATCGAAAGGATACTAACCAATGATGAGCTTAACAGATTTGCGAGTACTCGATTTACTCAAATACAAAAAGATTTGAAAAAATCATTGACAGATGTTCAAATAAGCAAATTGTTGAAAGGAGATATTAAGATTATCGAAAAAACCTTAAATCGTCAATTGACATTGGAAGAAAAAGGTCCACATCTCATTGATTTAGATGCTATAGAAGGTGTATTAACTCGTGAATTAAACCTACATGAACTTGTCCGTTTGGCAGGAGATCAGTTTGATGAACTCAGAAAAACACTAAATCGACCATTATTACGCGACGAATTACGAGAACTAATAAAAGGAAATCAACTAATAATAGACAAAGTCAAATTTATCGAAGTCATATTGAGTATGAATGAATTTATTATATATAAGACGTACATTGATTAGCCAAACATGTCTATTTTAGATCGACCATTATCATCACTCGAGTTGTTACGGTTTGCCCATGTACGTTACGATCTATTGACAGAACTACTTGGAACATGGATGACAGACGAAATGATTTTAGAGGCATCCTGTGAAATTTATACCCGAATTGAGAAATTTTTAGGGCGTACTTTAATAACAGAAGAACTTGAACGATTGAAAAAAGATAAAATAAAAATCGAAGAAAAATATCCGAATTCTATTGATGAAATTGAATATATCATCGGGCGTCCATTGAATGAACAAGAAACACGACGCTTAGCTGGTAATAAATTTGATCAGTTAGTAAAAAGGTTGGGACGTTCACTGACTGTTGAACAGTTACGAGACTGTTTGAGGGGAAATTATGACGAGACATTAGGTGCTGAATTTGAACAAGATAAACAACTTAAACATGCGCTGAAACAATTGAAAACGGATGAAGTAGTCGAAAAGGGCAAAAAAGAAGATTCAGTTGAGCGAGATCAAGTTGTGGCAAAACAACAGGAGAAGACAGACGATTTCAAAAGTCCAAAATTGGAAGACTTATCCAAACTAGAACAATTTGGATTATTACAAGACGATCAAACTAAAGATAGAACAGAAAAGATTAGACTAATATCATCTGATGATTTTCAAACTGAAAAGAAGTGGACTTATAAAAGATTGTCGGATACTAAAGGAAATATTGATTTTGATCAACATACGATGAATTTACTAGACCAATTAACAGATGTTATACAAAATTTATCAAAAAAGCAACAAGATGACCTTCAAGATATTCAAGATAGATTACATCGATCATTAATCCCGCTAGAACTACTTGGTGCATTAAATAATGATTATTCATTAATAGAAGAACATGAAAATCGAAAGTTAACTGATGATGAAAAACTTGCCATACGTCGTTTAATAAGCCCAGTTCTGAACAAGAAAAAAGCGGACGGAAAATCCGTTGTTGGAGAAAAATCAGTTGAAGTGATAATACCACGAGTGGTTTCACAGATTTCATCTAGAGAACATGTCGAACCTTTTATATCGATAAAAGAAGCTATAGGTAAGAAAATATTATTCAGGTTTGACGAGTTGCAACATTTTTCAGTTTTTCATTTGTCTGTTCATTTGTTCAGTTAGTTAGTTATTTGTTTTCAACGATATGATCTTTTATAGTCAAAACTAAACACTTTTTCCTGTTGAAATTCTAGGTGACACGTCGTCATATCTATCTGGAACATCGTATCGATCAGACATGAAACAAATAACGCCGGTCTTAATCGATCATCCATCCACAGCGTCAACCCATCAACCAACAGTATTGAAGAAATCAGCAAAAGATAGAACAAAACGTAACGAAAATGTGCATAGTGGCTGGAGCGTACTAAAAGCTGCTGATATTGCTGATCGAGGTACTTCTAACGATACAGAATAATGACAGAAGAGGTCGAATACTGTTTGAGTTTCATTTTAGGTTTGAGAGAAGAAAAGCCAGCTATTGTAAAAGTCAAGCATAATGCAAAAACCTATTTGTGTGGTAACATATAGCTTCCTTACTAGAAAATGACATTTTTTTGAACAATTTTTTCTGTTGTTATGCAGGTGTACCAGAAAGATATGCTACAAATAAAGCAAAACAGTATGCCACACTTGTTTATAGTGGTGGAGATATACCAAAAAAGTTACTCAAAATGCCGGCACTCAAAGAAATCAAAATGTACATTAGCGAACTAATAAGGTCACAGCAAGAATCGCAAGCCACTCATCTGATTATACCATCAAAACCCTATTTTGAAAAAGAGACTGTTATGTATGATGAGTATGAGAATGAAATTATCGAGATTTATGAGGAAGATGATGAAGTAAGGCCTTTCTGGATATTTTAAACAAAAAATTGATGGTGAATTTTCTTCAGATATGTGACAGTCCCGAAACACTCCAGTGGTATAATGAATGTCTCGAACGAAATATACGAATTCATGCCCAGATACCACTTGGGATTACAAATTCTGTTATCTTTTGTCATACGGGACGACATGGCATTATTAACCCGTCAAAGCGATCTATTCCATTTTCAGGACAACCATCAACAAAAGAGAATATACATGGTTTTAGTGGTAGTAGTTTGTCATTGAAAGGCGAGCTAATCGAGAATGAGAAAGATGTGTTTCTTCAATTAAATGGTAAAAATGACGTTAATGTTGTCGATTATGGAATTCAAGTGAAAGAACTTCCTAGGACAACGATAACAGAATTAATTTTGGCTACAGTTACACGATCAAACACAGGCGATTTATTAGAAGTGTTAGACGATTTATTTTCAGAGGATAATTTATTACGATATCAAATAACCGAAGCACATTGGCAAGAAATATTTTTGATATTATTAAATACTTATCTGCAATCACAATTAACAAATCGTAAAGAGATATTTCAACGTTTAACAAATAAATTGAACGAATTAAAGAAGAAAAATATCGGTAAATTATCAATATTACAAGAGTCAGCGGTTGAATCCATAGTTCCAAGAAAAAGTATGGCATCCAGAATTAATGTTGACAACAGAGTCAAGTATTTGAGAGAAGGAGAAGTTGATGACGATTATGTAGGTTCACGTACTTCAAATCTATTAGAAAAATCGAGTATTTTATATCAATCACCAGCATCCTATACATCACCATCACCGTCACAAAATTATTCAGCCTCATCGACGTTGATGCAAAAAGTACACTTATCACAAATTAGTCATCGCCCAATAAAAGTTCAGCCAGTCACCACCACAAGTGACAGTAGCAGTAGTTCAAGTCTCACAAATAGTCAAACGAATCTCCACAAAGAATTGAGCACCAATAATATGACAATAACTTATTCAACAGAACAAAAAACCTACAATTCATCAACAGTGGCTGCTAAAAAAATTAAATTAAATAGTGGACCGAAAAAATATAAAATTATGATGTTAAAAAGTGATCATACTCTAGAAACCTACCCAGACAGCAGTCCGAAAAAACATGAAATAACGAATACGGCGGTAAATAAAACTAAAAAGCTCTATCTTAAGTTAGCCTTAAGACTTATTCCAATTGATATAACAACTAATTCAATCGAATGTCCATTGCAAAACAATAATAATGTAAGATTTTATCATTTTTAAGCTACCATAGAATTTGAGTTTTGATAGTAAGTTTTCTGGAAACAGTTTCATACGTATTACTATCCACTTCCATGCGGATAATAATACGTAATATTTAAAATCCACGCGGATATTTTTTTAATCAATTTTGATGGAAAAATAATGGAAATTTCCGGTTTTCGCCATTTGAAAGAAAAGATCAAGGTAAACACTGATAAAAATAAAAGGAATTATACTATCTATCTATCTCCAGACAGTATGTTTCCCATCTTTTATGACTAGGTTGATGCAATAAAAAGAAAGGACGCGTTTTTTATTTTCATATATGCATGAGTCATCAGACTGTTCTCCTGCTATCTATGCAAATTCGGGGTCTGCAACTGACTTCGTTTAGACATGGCATAATGGGGGTCTTGTAAATGGTTCTCAACACTTATAGTAACCTCAAAACTGACTAAAGCGTAGGTAATCGAATACGCTGAATTTCGTAGCAAGGCGCTCTACAAAAATGATCGTAATTCTTTTTTGTTGTTGTTATAGTATTACAGGCCATCGATATCAACCAGAACAACAATCATGACCCAAAAGCGTCTTCATGAATCACAGTCGAAAATGAACAAATTACCTCGCATTCCAAATTCTAATAGATCTTTGTCTGATAGCAAAGACCAGAATATTTTTAGAATAAATACAACGAAAAAGAAGACCAAAGAAGTTTGAAAAATATAACTTTTTATAATAAAGTTTTTATTTATAATTAGACGAATCAACTAAAATATTGTATATATTGATAATCAATTTTTTTTACCACAATTACCTCAATTTTTTCTAGAAAGCCCGATTCTTATAAACGTGAAATACAACTGACATTGTTTAGGGTATAATTAAAACAACAATATCAGAATTTCTATCTCAACATTTTATACAGATTCTTAGGATAATCGAATATTCGGAATACTATGATGTTGTTATTGTGAACAGCGGGGAAAGTACTTTGTACTGTTCGTCATCCTATTTCAATTAAGCCATGTTTTTAACAATTCACTCGTTTCAGTTCGATACATGAAGTCCGTTCAATAATGTACGTGATATATCGTAAAATCATCACATGTGAACTATTACAAAAAATTATTTTTCGTTCTTATGATTGGGATTTTCCAAGGTTTTCTAGATTAATAACATTTGCAACAACAACACATTTTACGTAACCTACAGTTGATCTTTGGGAGATATTGGCGCGTATAGATGATGAATTACTCTGTTAGTTACCAAAAGTAAGCGAAATTACTTCAAATAGAATAAATATATTTTACCACCCAGAACCGCTTTTAGATAAAAACTGAAGTGGGCTGATCATCAACTTTATCTGGCCCCGTTCTTTGTCAGTCAGCCAATCTACTCCTATGCAAAACATAGCAATTACGTCAAACTAATTTAATGTCTTTTGTTCAAACTATACAGTTATGTTGCATAAACAGTTTCAAAAAAAAGATAAGACATGCGCCGTTGTCATCCAGGTTGACTTGTAATTACCCGGTAACACAAAGATGAAAATGAGAAAGTAGTCGTACAGGTGCGTAAAATACACCTACCCATTACTTCCAGGACAACAATCCAGTACATAATACCATTACAAGTACCTACCAGTAAATAATACAAACATTTGTAGATATAACTGATGTAAATAAATCCAGAACATCGCCAGAGAACGGCGGAATTTTTTTATTGATTCAGTCTCAACAAAAATATTTCACATCGATTTTGAATTAATTTTAATGAACCTCGTTTGTGGCAAGACAGATGACCCTCTGACGTTCGAGCCTCGCCAGATGAGTCTTGACAAATGAGCTTCTCGACACTGGACCTCTTGACATTTGAGCCTAACAAAAAGAATAACATCAAAAAATTATTATAATTATGAAAATCATTAACAACATCAAAAATTTATGTGATTGCAACGCGTATGTGGTGATGGTTAAAAATGTGACCTTTGAACATGTTTTGGCTCCATGAATCGACGACGGCATATCAGATAAAAAACGTATTTGTCTTATTCCATATGAGAAATTGCAATTTTTTTTACTATCTTTTTATCATATATTCGAATGATGTTGGTCTCCGGAATGATATGTCGCTATGTCAGTCGTCAATCATTTGGACAGATGTATTCATCAACTATTATACATTATGCTTGGGTTCTCTAATCGTATCAAACTTTGTCATATAATGTGTATCTTGTTTTTTGAGTAAGACACATCTGTGAAAGTCTCAAATGTCGAAGACTCAGAAATCAGTAAGCTCAAATATCAGGAGTTCAAATGTCAAGAGCTTTAGTGTCGGGAAGCTTAGTTGTCGGAGCTCATCAGTCGATGTACCAACCTCGATTAATCGGTATTCATTTACTATCGGAAAGTCCTGATTTGGCACAAACAGAACAGGATCAGATAAAAGGAAATAAAGATAAAAATAGTGACAATTCCGTGGACAATAGTTAAATGGAGTCAGCATTGCTTTGTACAAGGGTTAAAAAAGATAATAAGTCGGCATCGATAACTACTGATGATTTTCTTCAAGCAAAGGATTTGTTCCAAGAACTTGGAGATTCTGACGTACAATCAAATAAAATTGACAGAATTTTATGAACATATTACTTTTCATCTCTAACAAAATCAAACTCAACGGAAGAACAAAAAGATGTGGGATTGGAAAGTATTATTTAAACACCTACCACAAAAGAAAATATTGAAAAAATTTTAGAGGTTATGTATATATGATCCAACACCAATACACCTAGAAGGAGCTTCAGGAGTTGGAAAAGAGCATCAATACTCATTATAACGAATTGATTTTTTGCTTGTTCAATGGCTTTATGTCATATCATATTACTATAGATGATTTAATTGGTAAAGTCATATTAATAATTGATCAGGAAAGTCAAAAGGTAACATTTACATTTACAGATGGCCCTTTTACAATTGCTTTTTTACATGAATATTGAGTATTATTTGACGAATTAAATTTAGCACAAAATACTGTTTTACGAGCACTTGAATCCCCTTTAGATGTAAAACACCCCAGCAGGCGGATATAATCATATTTCTGCTATAAAATAGCATAATCTGTCAAAGAATAGCCACCATTCTACCACACTGATTGATTTTCAGTGAAACCACGGCGAAAAAACACAAAAAGCATCATATAAACTTTATCATCGCAATAACATCGAAGAAACACTGCGATTTCAGCGGTTTTCACAATTTTTGACCAGTTTTAACAAATTTTTTCCAAGTTTCGAGGTCATATTTGAAAAGCTCGTGAAAACTGAGTCGAACTATGTATCTATCTCATTGAGTGGATGATACTTCATTATTCCGTGGATTCGTGTTTAACATGCGAAAATGATCGTTTTTCGTGTTTTTCAATTTTTGACTAAGTTCGACAACTTTTTTCCGAGTTTTGAGGTCATATTTAGAAAGCTTGTGAAAAATTGATTCGAACTGTGTGTATATCTCGTGAGTTTAAGACTTCATTATGGTATAAAACTGCGCCTAACATGGAAAATTACCTGTTTTTTTCGATTTTTGGCGTGTGGAAGTCGTTTTCTGGAAAAACAAATTAGCCTGTCTTGTTCAGAATTCGACGCTGATTCTAATCATGTAGTTTTTTCTCGATAATTTTTTGGAATGAAAAATAGACTTACCACCACCAGTCCTTTTAATAGGTAGCTTAAAGGTTTCTTACATAAGAATCTTATAAGCACAGTATGCATTTCTATCGACTGTAGTATAAGATTCTTATAAGATTTCTATAAGATTTTTATCTGATTCTATAAGATTCCTATAGGAATCGTATATAAGATTTGATCTCCAGGGTCTTTTTCACCATTACAAACGAATATAGTTAATAGTAGTATAATCAACGTTTTTAGCGAAATGTGCGATGTAAAAGAATATAAAGCACATTCATTATTGAAGTATTGTAGTTCGACTGCAATCACTACTGGAAAAGCTTGGCGTGATAATTTTCAGTCTATATTAGATGAAGTGAAAGATATTATAAAATTTCAAGCAGTCTCTAAAGATCATCCGACTAGTATAACATTCATATCGTTGGATGTTCAATAACTGGAATTGTTCAAATGCTAAATTGTAAAGATCTATTAGTGTATATGTTTGAAATAGTCGAAGAAATATACGAACTTTTCAAACAATTACCTAAATTGAACGACACAGAACTGTTAATGGAGAAAATAGACAAATATATGGAACAAACAGAACGTATATATTTGACTGTAAAACATACGTCAATGAAAAATGTATTCAACAATCTCAAAATATGTGGTGATTTTCTTGTTTTAAGGCCCACCCCCCACCCAAAAATCCATTTCTGCTTACGAGCATCCGACCTTAATGAAACTTTCAGAGATGGTGTATCTAGGTATGATGACCTCACAGTAAAAATTTCAGCTCGAAATATTAAACCTATCAAGAGCTAGCTCAC